TAGTTATGCTGCTATAGGCTTAGGCTTCTGGAGGACATAGGGACCCCTATTGCATAATGTTGCTTCATTCTATCTCTATTGTCCTATTCTGCAGAATCTGTTAGTTTAATCTCTAACGTTCTGTTCTCTCTGCTTTTCCTCATAGTAGCTTCGCCTCATCTGTTCCTGTTTGGCTGTGACACCATCCTGGAGATAAACATCAGCTGTGCTGCTGCCATCAACACCTTTGTTTATAGGCGATGGAGATCTGCCTGTTTTTCCACTGTAGTCCTGTTTCTCTGACTATGACTGGCTGGATGTGCTCTCTTTATCCTCTGACATGGGAGCTGGCTCAGAGCTCGTCTGCCTGGCTGTGTGTTGGGGGCCGTCTTTTACAGTCGCTTTTTGTATCTCTGCTTCTGTCTCCTTGAACCTCAGTCAGCCTCAGCTGATGGCCGCTCACACTGAGCCTGGTTCTGCTGGAGGTTTCTTCCTGTTGAAAGGGAGTTTTTCCTCTCCACTGTCATTGCAGTGTGAGGGATTGCATTCAAGTCAATAAGTCAATGCAATCAACTGGTTTTCCTTAGATAAAAAAACTCTGAATCAATTTGACTGTATGATCTGGTTGAACTGTAAAGTGCATTGAGATGACATGTGTTGTGAATTGGCGATATAGAAATAAACTGAATTTAATTGAATTTCACTCCAGGGAAGTTTCACCAAAATTCTTTATTTACTCCATTTGTGGACAACTTGCTCTCACTCTTTTGTAAATTCTCAAAAGATCTTAAACACGACATGGTTTTCTGTGTTTTCTAGTTTATTGTTTTCAATTCGGTTTTGAGTTTTTTTCTGGTTGTATTTGAGTTCTTATGTATTTCTTTTTTACCTTCTGTTGTCCTCTTGTGTCAGTCCCCTTCTTCTAGCGCCCTTCTAGATCCTTCTGTCCACACCTGCTCCTTGTCTGCTAATTAGCCCTCCCATTGTTTCTGTCTCCCATATATACAACTCCTGTTCAGTTACTCTTTGCTGGTTCCCAGTCATTTCCTGTCCCCATGTGTGTTTTCCCTGACATCTTCTTGATTTTGTTTTTCAGTATTTTGTTTGTGGACTGTTGCCTCTGTGCCTTTTGAATTATTAATCCTATAAGAAACCACTTCTGCTGCCATCTCTGCATTTGGGTCCCCTTGATCTTGCTTCTCATCAAATTTCTGTAGTTGAGGCCATGGTGTGTTGTTTTTCTAATCCTTCAGAATAATGCCGTCAAACTGGTTCTATCTTGGTGACTTACTGACTATAATGGTGGGCACAACCACTTATAAGCTTTAGAAGGCAATTACTATAAAATGTCAGGGCAAGGTGTTTCAGATAGCTTTTTTTTTAACAAACATAAACATTAGAAATCTTTAAAATACCCTTTCATTGCTCTATAAAACACAGATACAAATGAATATAAAAATTATGATTAATTAAAACTTCCAAAATGAAAAAACATAACAGGTAATGTCTGTTAAATCAAAAAATGAAGCAGTAAAGCACACTTCTTAAAAAGAAAAAAAAAAAAAGAAATATACTTAAAGAGGCAGTAAAAGTAGTTGGAGAAGCCCCATAGCATTTTTTTTCTTTCTTTTTTTTTTTTTTTTTTGTATTACCGGTAAGAGGTTTTAAATAGAACTAAACTTTAAAAGTATGTCTGCTTTTTTCCGCAATACTATGTGTTCTTAATCCCATCCTTTGTCATCCTTTAAATCAAAACTATTGAGTGTCCATTGTGCAAACTAGTATCTCTCTTTTCCCAATGTGCAGAACAGCTGATGCTAATGGGATGCTGGTTATTTAAGAGTCTAAGCAGCACAGAGGGCTTTTTGTGAAAATCCTTACAATAGAGCTTTTAAACCAGTAATGCCAGTGGGAAAATTGGAGACAGGAGAATGACTGAAAGCCATTTACTCTTATCTATCACAGTATAAAATGCCTCCTCAAGTCGTCTCCGAGCTCGTTTACAGACAACCTGCAGGAGAGATATGGGGATCTTCTGACATTCAGCAGGTTAAAGGTGTTGGCTTCACAAGGTGAGTCATATTTAATTTTTATGGATTTAGATCCTTCCATTTTATCCCATAATATTACATTATTGACAAATTTATGTTTTGTTGTTGCAGCTTCTCACTATGGCTTCATTTCTTGCACTGTTTTTGGGGTTACCTGTTGCGCTGACATGTGCACCACAAAAAGCAGGTAAAAACTGGATTTGAAAAAGACAGAAAAACAGTTGTTTCCTGGTTCTCACCCAGAACTGGACATGCAACCAATCCCACAAACTGGAAGTCATCCTTCAACAGATATCTCTTCACTGTGCTTCGTTTCTTTTATTTAGAAAAAAGTAAAAATCTAACAGCTTTAAAAAAATCTTACCTCAAAATACACATTTGATCAATAATAGTTGCCCTATTTTAAGTAAAATAGGAACTGTAATCACATTTTTTGTAATTTTATCTCTTTGATTTATATTCCAGACTATGTTGTTGTGTCCTGTTTTCCTAACGCCATCATCGCCAATGTCCCAGAGTGTCCTTATGGCTGGGATATAGACCAGCTATCCCTGGGTGGAGTGTGTTACACTGGAATACACAGCCCAGGCTACTACCGCTTCATTATCCCAGACCTAACGCCCAGAAACCATTCATACTGCGGCACACAATCTGAGGTAAGGCACATGCACAAGCTGAAAAGCCAAACTGAAGCACAGTACTTTTTCTCTTCAGTTCTAACGCAATCAAACAAAAGACTCTTTGTTTTGCTGACGTTTTGCAATTGCATGCAAAACAGTGATATTTATTTTAACCAAATAAAACTTTTGGAAAAGAGTAGTT